GTTGACTCTGTGAGTTACATATATTCATTGCAAAACATTTAGAAAATAAAGAAAGGAATGTAAAATATAAAATCATATGTGATCCTGCTACTCAGCTGTGATAAGTATTAACATTTGTGTATATAGCCCACTAGGCCTTTTCTTATACATACATATATACTTTTTATTAAACAAAATTTGGATCACAGTATCTACACATTGTAATCAATTTCAGTTTTCAAATGGTAAACATAACCAATAAATTTCAGGAAAGAAAAGAAAAAGATCCTTCCTTAGGCTTCTCTTCACTAATTTTATCGATTTCTGTTTCCTGTTCTTTTGTATTTTACCCTCTTTTATTTCCATCCAATTCTGGTTGCAACTAGCTCCTTGTTTTCTATGTCTTGTAGACCACCTACCACACAGTTTTTGATAAGTTACTAAAATTTCCAAATCACACAGTGGGTAAGTTTGAAGAAATTATTACAAGATCAAGGACTGAAAATTAATATTATTGTAAGTGACAGACTCAAACAGTTATTAACTATAACACATTCCATATGCTCAGTCAGCTGCTGGCAGTGTTTATCCAAATATCAGAATTTGGCACCTTATGAGCAGGAGACAGATTCTTGTTGAGATGGAAGCTCAAGCTTCATATGGGCCTTTTTTCCCAAGAGAATCCTGCTGGGTTTGGGCCTTGCTATTACTTGGTTTCTTCCTGGGTTTCATTTTGGAATCAAATGGGTTTCATCAGTAAGTTTCTGCCTGACATATCTAGTCTGTGTGATGAAAATCAAAAAGTAGTGACCTGTGTGTGTTTGTTGAACTCCATGCAAGCTACTATATGAACACACACATAGGTCACTTCCATTTTTATTTCTATCAAACTACCATACAATTGTGCTCATTTCACATGCTAGCAAGGCAATACTCAAAATTCTCCAAGCCAGGCTTCAGCAGTATGTGAACCAAGAACTTCTAGATGTACAAGCTGGTTTTAGAAAAGGCAGAGGAACCAGAGATCAAATTGCCAATATCCACTGGATCATCGAAAAAGCAAGAGAGTTCCAGAAAAACATCTATTTCTGCTTTAATGACTACGCCAAAGCCTTCGACTGTGTGGATCACAATAAACTGTGGAAAATTCTGAAAGAGATGGGAATACCAGACCACCTGACCTGCCTCTTGAGAAACCTATATGCAGGTCAGGAAGCAACAGTTAGAACTGGACATGGAACAACAGACTGGTTCCAAATAGGGAAAGGAGTACGTCAAGGCTGTATATTGTCACCCTGCTTATTTAACTTATATGTAGAGTACATCATGAGAAATGCTGGGTTGGAAGAAGCACAAGCTAGAATCAAGATTGCCGAAAGAAATATCAATAACCTCAGATATGCAGATGACACCACCCTTATGGCAGAGAGTGAAGAGGAACTAAAAAGACTCTTGATGAAAGTGAAAGATGAGAGTGAAAAAGTTGGCTTAAAGCTCAACATTCAGAAAATAAGATCATGGCATCTGGTCCCATCACTTCATGGGAAATAGATGGGGAGACAGTGGAAACAGTGTCAGACTTTATTTTTGGGGGACTCCAAAATCACTGCAGATGGTGATTGCAGCCATGAAATTAAAAGACACTTACTCCTTGGAAGGAAAGTTATGACCAACCTGGATAGCATATTAAAAAGCAAGAGACATTACTTTGCCAACAAAGGTCTGTCTGGTCAAGGCTATGGTTTTTCCAGTGGTCATGTATGGATGTGAGAGTTGGACTGTGAAGAAAGCTGAGCACCAAAGAATTGATGCTTTTGAACTGTGGTGTTGGAGAAGACTCTTGAGAGTCCCTTGGACTGCAAGGAGATCCAGCCAGTCCATCCTAAGGGAGATCAGTCCTGGGTGTTCATTGAAAGGACTGATGCTGAAGCTGAAACTCCAATACTTTGGCCACCTCATGCGAAGAGTTGACTCATTGGAAAAGACCCTGATGCTGGGAGGGATTGAGGGCAGGAGGAGAAGGGGACGACAGAGGATGAGATGGCTGGATGGCATCACCGACTCGATGGGCATGAGTTTGAGTAAACTCCGGGAGTTGGTGATGGACAGGGAGGCCTGGCGTGCTGCGATTCATGGGGTCGCAAAGAGTCGGACACGACTGAGCCACTGAAGTTTAGAAAAGCTGCCCCCTTTGAGAGATTCACAAGGCACATGGAAATGTTAAAGGCCCTAAAGTTCTGCAGCAAAGAATCATGTTTATCCCAACTTGTTCTAAACTTACTTAACCATGAAACTCCTAATTAATACCTATTAACAGCTCATTAAAATAATCAGCCTTTTGAGAAAAAGCCTGGTCAAGACCTGCCGATTAATACCCCATCCCTACATCAGGCGACACGGGCGCCACCTGCTGGTTATATGCGGTATGAGGTCACTCACTCAGGAAGCTTCTATTTTCACTAAATTGCACTCAAAATCCAGAGTTCATTGTCACAGTGCACTTAATTATGTCTTTTCACATTTAACAAACCAGGGACTGAACAACATAGCTTGCCATAATTTAGTCACAAAAGGAAGTTTTTCACGCAGACCATCAACATGGAAGTCAAATGATACAAATCAGTACTGAATACCAGTGTCCAGGAAAAGTGAAGCATCTGATACAATGGGAACAAAGAATTCTAGGGTTTTATAGACTAAATACTTGTGATAATAAACTCAATTAGTCCATTCTATTTATCCTCTAATTTCAAATCCAACTGATTTTTAGCCGACTTAGCCAACGTCTAATAGACTGATGAACCAAGCTACAATCCTATCAAAACTGATATTAGACCTTTTCACTTAAATTGTTAAGTTTCACTACTCCTGGTTCTCAAGGTTTTAATTGTTAAAATGATATCATAATTGATTTGGGGAGAAAAAAAGAAATAAATAAAAATAAAGGACAAGAATGTGATCATAAGGTATATTTATGCTATAATCATTTGTTGAAGAGTTTATGTTATCATACATTTGTTTATAGACAACCACACAGTCTAAGGGGAAAAATTTTAAATGTTTTCTACAAATAATGTTTCACAATCTGTTCTATTTATTTTCCTGCCTCAAAAAATATTTAACTAGCAGAGTTTTTTTTTTTTAAACAGAACATCACATAAGTTTATTTCAGATGTAACAGCAATTTAAAAATCAACAAGTTTAAATCTTAACTGCACCAAGTAAACTTAGCTAGTTAAGTATTTTTAAAGTTATCCTCTCCAAAAAAACTGAGGGAGCTTTTCTTTTCCACCTCACATCCCACAGTTTCCCAATGGTTCTATTTTTAGAGGACTTTCAATTGATGAGTAAATGCTAGCAGAGGCTTCCAAACCACAATTTTTACTAGAATGGCTAAAGGTTTAAGCATCAAAGCAGTTGCTACGTGACACTGGGTGCGTTGAAAAGCATTGGGTAGCCTGGTTTCCGCTTCCCTCCTTCCCTCTATCTCCATCTTCCTCGTGTTTCATCTGGGTTTCTCCAAGAAACCTTCAACTCCCCGAGAAAAAGCAGCATGCTCTGCGACCATGTGCCTAATCCTTCTATAGCAAAGATGCTTATGTTCCAAGTTTCAAATATTTAAAGAAAGATACTCCTACTTTGACATACTAACAAGTATCTGCAATAATTTTACCCTCAAAGAAGCATAACTTGTGGCATGTCAGCCTCACTTTAAAAGACTGTTGAGATTCAGCTCTTGGAGCAGTCTTCCCAGCATTTAAAGTCAACAGCCACACCCTCATGTAACCACAGAAATACTGGATTGGCCAAAAGTTCATTTGGATTATTCCATAAACTGGTAAGGAAAACCTGAATGACCTTTTTGGCCAACCCAATATGATGATTCCAGGGCTTTATTCCTATAGTCTGTGCGGGGCAGGTGAGCCTCTGCATGTTTAAGGCGCCCAATGGGTGCTGATCCAGCCACCTATGGAGACTCTTTCTTTAAGACTGATGATGGATCCACCCCTGGATGTGCCGATCAAGGTGAGGCAGGACCCCTGTTTCTATAAAGCATCCCACAGGTCATGTGAATGAGCGCAGAGGGCTGAGAATTTCTGCTCCAAGAAGTTCTAAGAGCAAGGACACATGTGGAAAGATCTATTTCGATTTGCCAGTGAATTGTTTGTGCAGAGAAGGAGAGGCAGGTGTACTAACCAGCTTTAGAGTAATTATTAGTGAAGGATGCAGGGAATCAGCTGAACAGAAGATAGGATGCTATGACTTCTCAATCTAAAAAAGGTTCACAGTGGCATTTCAGTGACCTTAATTCTTAACCCCAGTTGCTCTCTAGAAGCTTCCAGGAGTGAGCTTTTAAAAATTACCTTTGCTGTTCACCTGAAACCACCACAACATTGTTAATCTGCTATACCCTGATACAAAATAAAAAGTTGAAAATATAAAATGAAAATGAGCCAAGTCAAGGCCCTACTCCAGACCAATTAAATCAGAATCTATGGCTGGGGGTGGGGTCTTATTTTACCAGCCCCTGGGGCGACTCCAGAGGGCCAGCAGCTTCAGTCCCATTGCTCTATGACACACGAGAAGCCGCTCGCATCACCTGCTATTGTTGACATCACAAACAGGACACATTTGCCTCCAGACCCTTGAAGGTCAGTCTTTGGAAGAAATGAACGCTTGGCACTGTCCTCTCGCTCCACGTCTTAAACCATCATGAGTAGGACTCACTTATTTATAAAAGCAGAGGCCACCTGCTTTCTTTCCAGGATTCGTTGCTGTGTATCACTTAAAGCAAAAGCCAGAAAGTTCTAAATCTTCTTGTTAAAATTGGAGGGAGGTGGGAAGTAGAACTTGTGGAATTGTGCGACCTGTTGCTTGGCAACTTTGAGTTCAGCTTCTGCATTCTCTGAGCCGGCGGAGTCACAAAGTTTGCTGGGCTGGGTTGATTATTTCCCACTACAAAAAGGAAATTAATTCTGCATGACAGAGAGGGCTCGAAAAGCTGTCCTTCAAAGTGGGCCATGTCACACTTCTTCTACTTGACACCACAGATTCTTCTGCCTTTCAGCCCTCTCACTTCTCAAGAGTTTGACGTGATCAGACGGAAGGCTGCAGCATCTTGGCAGGATGAAGCGAGGTGGTCAGATTTGTCGGTGACAACGTACACGGGCAGTTACAGGAAAAAGCGGCTGGACGAGTCCACAGGCGGCTGGCTCAAAGCAGGACAGCCCTGGCCTGACCATCGCAAGTAAGATCGCCTTGTGATTTGCCCCTGGCTATGTCTCTCTGGCTAGATGAGAAGGATACTAGAAGGAGGAGGGTGTTGTCAACCCCGAAACACTTCCCGGACTTCCACTCTGTAAATTTTCCTGGGTAAATGTCAGGGGGCGTGCATGTGAAGTTGCTTCAGTCCATGTCCGACTCTTTGCAACTCCATGGACTGTAGCCTGCAAAGCTCCTCTGTTGATGGGATTTCCCAGGCAAGAATCCTGGAGTGGGTTGCCATTTCCTTCTGCAGGGAATCTTCCTGACCCAGGAAGAAGAGCTAAATATCAGTTACCAGCTGAAACTAGGAGTGTTATTCTGTTTAGTCCTTCTAAAATTGATGCACAACTGCCTTTACTCTTGACAAGGTAAAATGTGACTGTTTGGTTAAGATGGGCTTCCCAGGTGGCACCCACCTGCCAATCCAGGAGACAAAAGAGACGCAGGTTTGATCCCTGGGTCAGGAGGATCCCCTGGAGCAGGGAATGGCTACCCACTCCAATGTTCTTGCCTGGGAAATCCCATGGACAGAGGAGCCTGGTGGGGCTGCAGTCTACAGGGCTGCACGGAGTCAGACACGTCTGAGTGACTAACCCTAATAAATATTAGTGATTTTGCCTTCCAGGGCTTTCCAAACTGTCCAAACAATACTTAAAGCTGAAATGTCTCAGGGGTACTTTCCAATTGGATACCTTGTCTGGTGTATTCCAATGAACTACACATTCTGCATTTTCAATAGCTCTCAAGTTTGTTTGGAGGAGGCAGCGGCACCCCACTCCAGTACTCTTGCCTGGAAAATCCCATGGACGGAGGAGCCTGGTGGGCTGCTGTCTATGGGGTCGCTAAGAGTCGGACACGACTGAGCGACTTCACTTTCCCTTTTCACTTTCCTGCATTGGAGATGGAAATGGCAACGCACTCCAGTGTTCTTGCCTGGAGAATCCCAGGGACGGGGGAGCCTGGTGGGCTGCCGTCTATGGGGTCGCACAGAGTCAGACACGACTGAAGCGACTTGGCAGCAGCAGCAAGTTTGTTGGCACCTCAATTAACTTCGGAAGCCCCTTTGCTAATTCTGTGAATTTTGAAGCATCTCTGGGCCACCTGGGGGAATCTTCAAGGCAATACTTGCCTCCCCATCTCAACTTTGGACTCTCTGAGGTATACAAACCCAGAAGAGATGAAAACTGAGAGAGCCCTGACTGGGCCTTTCAGCAGAATCCCAAATTATTTGAAAAGCAGTGATTTTCCTTTCTGCATTAGTACTAATAGAGACAAATCCCTGAGTGAAAAAGCATCGTCATGTTGGATCATGCTTCTGAAATAGAGGCACTGTGCCCAGGACTTACTAAAAAGCCACAGGACAAATAGGGAGCGTTTGTTCGTTACAGAATAAACAGGAAAGTACAGGTAGACCTTGGAGATACTGGGGGTTTGGTCTAATAAAGTGGGTATCCCAGTAAAGCAAGTCACACAAATTTTTTGGTTTCCCAGTACATAAAAAGTTATACATATACTATACTGTAGCCTGTTAGGTGGGCAATAACATTATGTCTAAAAAACAATGTTCATGCCTTAATTAAAAAATATTTGGTTGCTAAAAAAATAAAATGTAACCCTCATCTAACAACACAGGCTTGCCACACACTTTGAATTTGTAAAATACACAGTATCTGCAAAGTGCAATAAAGTCAAGTGCAATAAAACAAGGTATGCCTGTAACACAGGTAGAACAGAGATCAGAAACATGTTTATAATAAAGTGAAAATGTTTAAATAAAGGAAAGAGCACAATACAAAATTTTCGTGAATGTTAAAAACAGGAACTATAAAACAAAATTAGTGCTTACAAGTAAGTTTTCAAATGAAATTTTTTTAAAATGACACTTTGCTAAAATAGTCAAGATTTTAGAATAAAGGTAGTCAAAGATATGTAAGATCTCCAAACAGAAAACTATAAGACCTTAGTGAGAGAATATAAAGATCTAAGTCAATAGAGAGGTGAACCATGTTCATGGATTGGAAGACTGAATATTATAAAAACATTACTTCTCCCCAAATTGATTTACAGATTCTATACAATTCCAACAGATGTTTTTGTGGAACTTGACAAGATGGTTCAAGGCCAGAAAACAGTCAGGACACTCTTAAAAAGAATAAAGTCAGAGTGTTTGCTCTACAGATGACAAAACTTACCATAAAGCCTCAGTGATTAAGGCAGAATGGCACTGTGGCACCAAGATAGCCAAGAGATGACTGGAACAGTTAAAAAAAGGGCCCAGAAACAGAACCTTGCATACATGGGCTCTGATTTATGTAAAAGGTGGCAGAACAGTGGAGAAAGGTCATGTTTGCAGTTCCAGGTAGATTCCTTCCAGATGAATGAGAGGCCAAAGTGTGCAAGGCACAACAGCAAAAACCCATTAGATAATGACACAAGGAATATCTTGATGATCTTGAGGCTGGCAAAGATTTCCCAAACAGAACACAAAAAGTCCTATCCACAAAGAAACAAAGTAAATGAGACCAGCCTGAAGTAGCTCTGTTTAGCAAGATACACCCTTACAAGTATGAAAGCTGAGCTACAGTTAGGAAGGTGAGTTTCTCAACTCAGTGACTGACCAAGGGCTCATTACTACGATACATATTAAAAAAAAAAAAAAAAATACAAAAAACCCCCGGGGACTTCCCTGGTGGCTCAGTGGCTAAGACTCCATGCTCTCAGTGCTGGGTGTCTGGGTTTGATCCCTGGTCAGGGCCACAATCTGCAACTAAGAGTTCACATGCTGCAATTAACAGTTTGCAAGCCGCAACGAAGACCTGGCACAGCTAAATAAATACATTAAAATATTTTAAAAAGAAAAACACACAAATTAGTACGAAAAAGACAACCTACTAGAAAAATAAGAAAGAGACTTTGAAATGAAATTCATAAACCAAGATATCCATGTCATCAATAAAATGTATCAAAAGTTCCTTAACCACATTAATAATCAGGACATACAAATTAAATCCACAATGAGCTTACTCATGTAAATGTCCAGAATGGTTAAAATTAAAAAGATGATTAATACAAAGTGCTGGTGAAAGTATAAAACAATGTGGTCTCTCATGTACATCTGGTGGGTATATGCATTGAATTGTTTTCTTGAGGAAAAGAGTTTGATCTTGTTTCCTAAATTTGATGCTATAGATATCCTAGGACTTAGCAATTTTAAGTATATATCCAGCTGAAAAGTGTTGTCACATGTGCACCAAGAGATATGTACAAGTAGTTCATAGCAGCCAAAAAGTTCTCAATAGCCAAAAAGCTAAAAAACAAGCCTAATGTAGAATACATACTATTCAAATATAAAAGAATGAATAGACAGTGGTGTGATTGTACAATGCCAGTGTAAATGAACAAACTATGGTTGCACCCTGTAATGCCACAAACACTGTATGCAGCATTTGAGCCAGATGCAAAACATATGTGTATTATTCTATGTATGTAAAAGTTTTAAGATACTGTGCATGCCAAGTCACTTCACTTGTGTCTGACTCCTTATGACGCTGTGGACTGTGGCCTGCCGGGCTCCTCTGTCCATGGAATTCTCCAGGCAAGAATACTGGAGTGGGTTGCCATGCCCTTCTCCAGGGGATCTTTCTGACCCAGGGACTGAACCCAAGTCTCTTAGGTCTACTGCATTTGCAGGTGGGTTCTTTACCACTCGCGCCACCTGGGAAGCCCTCTTAAAAAAAACAGCCCAAGCCAAACTGCGGTGTTTGGTGTATGTGCTTCGGTGATAAAAAATAAATAAATAAAAGAAGACGCTAAGAAATGATTCCCATAGAAGTCAGAAAACTGGCCCACTGACTATCTGACTTTCTGCTCCAAACCTAATGGAAAAATAATTACTGGGGTTGGGCTTAGAAATGTGCATTTGGTGGTCTTCCCTGGTGGTCCAGTGGTTAGGAATCTGGCTGCCACTGCAGGGCACATGGGTTCAATCCCTGGTCTGAGAAGATCTCACATACCATGGAACAACTGAGCCCATGCACCATGAAAGGAAAAAAAAAAATCAGCAATGTGCATTGAAAAATTAATACCCCCTGGTGATTCAGTTGCTGCTGTAGGTAAGGAGAAGAAAGATGTAGGGTGGGCCACCTGCCCCTGTCTCAGGGATGATGAGGGTAGTCTATGGGCTCAGTACATGTCTGGGAGCATTTTAGAACTCTTTTTTTTTTTTTTTTTTACATTTTTTTCAAATTTATTTTTTGAAGTATAGCTGATTTACAGTGTTGTGTTAATTTCTGCTGCATGGCAAAGTGATTCAGTTATCCATATGTATCCATTCTTTTTCATATCCTTTTCCATTATGGTTTATCACAGGGTATTGAATACAGTTCCCTGTGCTATATATAGCAGAACCTTGCTGTTTATCTATTTCTATATGTGATAGTTTGCATCTACTAATTCCAAACTCCCAATCCATCTGCCCCCCAAATCCTCCCTACGTCCCACCTCTGCACTAGGACTCCAGGCTGACATAATTCCACTCTACCCTAACACACACATATAGTTCCAGGTCCCCGGAGCTTGAAAACCCTCCTCTCCTCAATGAGAGGCCCTAAAACAACAGTCGTCCTCTAGAAATTCATGACTGCGCTTCCCACCAAGCCAACTGCTTGCCTGAAAAGAGCATTATATCTGGATTCAGAGACACTGAGATACAGATATATTTTGAAGGATAGACACAGCATCTGCTAGTCCCCAAGTTACCCCGCCACTATTAAGTTCTAAGTTTTCCTGGGAAACCAACATAATTACTGTAATATTTCCTATCCCATTCATAGCACTTATTTTATTTTGAAAACAGCTCCCTAGAGAAAGTCTCATAAATTCTGTGAAAACAATTATGAACTTACTGTTTGAGCTTTTCATGTACAAAAGTTGAACAGTTTACCCTGTTATGACAAATTGGGGAACAAACAAATCACTAAAGACAATGAGAAAGTCCAACTTGGGTTGATTTAATGGGGTTTTACTGTTGGGAGAGTGGAAAGGGGGAAGAAAAGAAGCCAAAGTTTAAGAAATCAAGTGAAAGCATGAGTGAAAATCCCCGCAAGCCCACAGGCTGTGGCTTATAAACCCCATAAGCTCAAAGCTTGTTTCTCGTACTTGCTTTCTGCAGGATGGCATTCCCAAACTGCTTTGCTGGCAGGGCTGAGCTCCACCGGACCACAGATGCTAAAGGTAAGTGCACTGTGATCAGTTCTGAGCACAGCCATTTTGCCAGGGTTGCTGCCTTGATAACTTTTATGTTCGAGATTGTCATCCAAATAGTTTCCATATGCCTACTAAAAGCAAGCCGCCTCTAGCAAGAAACTGAGCATGTTCCACTCTGGATCAGTCACTCTTAAAAATAATAGTTATTCCAGGGCAAAAAACTTCCTCCTCAGAAGGTATCTTCTCCCAGAGCTTGGAGCCCTAAGTAACAGAAGGTGAGCTTTACTGGGTACGTCAAAGAATTAGGAAAAGAAACCAAACCATTATAAACCACCAACTAGGAAACTCCATTTACTAATCAATACCACCTCCACCCCATTTCAGTTAAATCAGGATAACACTTGCTGCTATAATAGATAAACCTCCAAATTCCAGTTGCTTAACATGATAATGGGCTTCCCAGGTGGTGCTAGAGGTAAAGAACCCACCTGCCAATGCAAGAGACATAAGAGACGCAGGTTCGATCCCTGGGTGGGGAAGATCCCCTGGAGGCAGGCATGGCAACCCACTCCATTATTCTTGCCTGGAGAATCCCATGGACAGAGGAGCCTGGCGGGCTACTGTCCATAGGGTCACAAAGAGTCAGACATGACTGAAGCAGCTGAGCATGCAGGCAAATGATAAAAGATAGCTTTTTTCTTCATATAAAGGCCCGGGAAGGTGTTTTGCAGACTGACCTTAGATCTAAGGACACAGACATCATTCATCTGGGAATTCCACCATCTCCTGTGGCCCCAGAATCTCCATCTGGCAGGTGGGGGAGGATAAAGGGTTGGGATGGCACGTGGCTTTTCTACCATTTCAGCCTGGAAGCGACTCACGTCTCATATGCTCACATTCCAGTGGGGGAAGTGGTCACAAGGCCCCACCTAAGGAGAGTTCAGATTCCTGGGCTGGGCAGCCCCTGCCAAGTAACAACTGCGCTCGGGGGAGGGGGACAGCCAGCCCTCCTACCCCACACTCTGATTTTGAGGAAGAAACACAGTAGGTTTTTCCCATATAATTTCCCGGAGAAGGCAATGGCACCCTACTCCAGTACTCTTGCCTGGACAATCCCATGGACAGAGGAGCCTGGTAGGCTGTGGTCCATGGGGTCGCTACGAGTTGGACACAACTGAGCGTCTTCACTTTCACTTTCCACTCTCACGCATTGGAGAAGGAACTGGCAACCCACTCCAGTGTTCTTGTCTGGAGAATCCCAGGGATGGGGGAGCCTGGTGGGCTGCCGTCTATGGGGTTGCACAGAGTCGGACATGACTGAAGTGACTTAGCAGCAGTAGCAGCATGTAATTTCCATCTCTCTGGGTTCAATCTTTGAAGGTTTAATAAGACCAATGAGAGTCATCTGAGGTGAGGATATTAAAGCACTTTGTAAAATATTCTATTAATACTTTCTGTTGCATTTTTTATTCAGTATGCACCCGTGTGTTGTCAGTATGTTGTCAAGAACCATCCTGCAGCCTCAGGGAGTTCTCCTGAAAAATAGAGTCAAGGTTTTTAACCACTGCCTTGGATGGTCACTATTCTTGCTGGCTTTCCTAATGAAATTGGACTGTATGGGAATAGTACATTCGAAATGGGTTTGATGCATCCCTCTACGGTTTGTTGAGGCAAGAGGACAGGACGGAGAACCGTTTGCACTATTGTTAAAATCAAGAAAGACTTTCTTTCTCTCGTTGCAGTAATAGACATAAAATTGAAACACACTACCTAGCTTGGCTGGAGAAGGGACTGGCTACCCACTCCAGTGTTCTTGCCTGGAAAATTCCATGGACAGAGGAGCCTGGCAGGCTGCAGTCCATGGGGTTACAAGAGTCAGACACGACTGAACACACACACACACACACACACACACACACACACACAGAGATACATACACACACACATCCACACACAGATACATCCACACACACACACACACACACAGATACATACACACACACACACACACATCCACACACACAGATACATCCACACACACACACGCACGCACATACACACACACAGATACATCCACACACACACACACACACACAGATACATCCACACACACACACACACACACACACACAGATACATCCACACACACACACACACAGATACATCCACACACACACACACACACATCCACACACACAGATACATCCACACACACACACGCACGCACATACACACACACAGATACATACACACACACACACACACACATCCACACACACAGATACATCCACACACACACACACACACACATCCACACACACAGATACATACACACACACACACACACACATCCACACACACAGATACATCCACACACACACACACACACACACACATACACACACACCTGGCCTGGAGACAAGTCTAGGTCAAGGGAAATTAAATAATTTACCACTGTATGATAGGTATTGCTTTTTTCCTATCTTCTCCTGTCTTTATGGTAAAGTATGGTAGGAGAAATGTAGAAAAGACATAAATATACGGATGTATTCAGAACGATGATTTACTAGTGGAGACTCTGCCCATGTTGCTTTTCTCATTTTCCTCAAATGGTCATTTTCGTTTAACTGATGCCTACTCTCATCATTAAGAGGTGACAGTATATCAAGGTAGGATTATTTAATTTGGCCAAGTTTAACTTCCCTCTGTGCTTCTTTGAAAAGTTCCATGTCTAATTTTGTGATTATCAACGTGTGCTCAGTTCAGTTCAGTTCATTTGCTCAGTCATGTCTGACTCTTTGCGACCCCATGAATCGCAGCACGCCAGGCCTCCCTGTCCATCACCAACTCCCAGAGTCCACCCAAACCTATGTCCATTGAGTTGGTGATGCCATCCAACCAGCCCATCCTCTGTCGTCCCCTTCTCCTCGTGCCTTCAATCTTTCCTTTTCAAATGAGTCAGCTCTTCACATCAGGTGGCCAAAGTATTGGGGTTTCAGCTTCAACATCAGTCCTTCCAATGAACACCCAGGACTGTTCTCCCTTAGGATAGACTGGTTGGACCTCCTTGCAGTCCAAGGGACTCTCAAGAGTCTTCTCCAACACCACAGTTCAAAAGCATCAATTCTTCAGCATTCAGCTTTTCTTATAGTTCAACTGTCACATCCATACATGACCACTGGAAAAACCATAGCCTTGACTAGATGGACCTTTGTTGGCAAAGTAATGTCTCTGCTTTTTAATATGCTGTCTAGGTTGGTCATAACTTTCCTTCCAAGGAATAAGCCTCTTTTAATTTCATGGCTGCAGTCACCATCTGCAGTGATTTTGGAGCCCCTCAAAAATAAAGTCAGCCACTGTTTCCACTGTCTCCCCATCTATTTCCCATGAGGTGATGGGACCAGATGCCATGATCTTAGTTTTCTGAATGTTGAGCTTTAAGCCAACTTTTTCACTCTCCTCTTTCATCAAGAGGGTTTTTAGTTCTTCTTCACTTTCTGCCATAGGGTGGTGCCATCTGCATATCTGAGGTGATTGATATTTCTCCTGGCAATCTTGATTCCAGCTTGTGCTTCATCCAGCCCAGCATTTCTCACGATGTACTCTGCTTATAAGTTAAATAAGCAGAGTGACAATATACAGCCTTGATGTACTCCTTTTCCTATTTGGAACCTGTCTGTTGTTCCATGTCCAGTTCTAACTGTTGCTTCCTGACCTGCATACAGATTTCTCAACTTTGTGCTAGAAGCATCTAATGAAGGGAGTTAAAATGTGAAGCCAAATCCATACAAGCCCACTGGATAAATTTGCTCACCACTCGTGGACATGGGTCTGTTGATGGTTTCCTTGCAGAATGTGTCCCTCCCTAAATATGCAAATCAGATGGGCTGTTCCTAAGTGTGATTCACAACCATCAGAGGAAAAACGTTCTCAGATTTTTTTCAAGACTGCCTTTCAAAGAATTCGGTCTTATTCTGCCTGCGCTAAGGTGGATTTTCCTTTGGAGTTACTATTAATTTTCTTTCCAAGTGACGTGGCTGTGGCTTTTCCCTTCTTGGGCACCCCCCATCTGCTCCTTTCTCGAGTTCAAAGAACAAAGCAATGACTAAGAAAAACTAAAATCAAGGGTCTTAAAACTGCAATACAGACAGAAATTGGTCAGGAATCCCTCTCTCTTTACATTCTGCTAAGACAGATTCCAGCAAGCTTTATTTAAAAAGCTCCTTTCCAGCAGAAGCAGTTTATGAAGAGCGAGGTGGATGTGGGCCCCGCTGCCTCCGGGGCTGCGCTCAAGGTGGTCCCTGTCCCTTCTCTCCTTCTTGGTGCATCTGTACGTGCCCCCAGGATGAGCCCGAGTTACTCTTGCAAAAGGGCACAGGGGCCTCTTTGATTCTAGCTGTTCTAAGAGATGTAATATATACTCGGGAAGAGGTTATCTACAGACTGATCTCATCAGAGCCCAGATGTGACAGAATGTATGAGAATATGCATTCTTTCTTGGGATATTCCCTAGTCACACATAACAAATTCCAAGTCCCTAAAGAGCAACCTGGAATCATCTTTATGGCATATGGCCTTTTTTTAAACTCATTATTTATTTATTTGGCTGCACCAGGTCTTAGCTGATGCACGTGGGATCTAGTTCCCTGACCAGGGATCGAACCTGGGACCCCTGCACTGGGAGCATAGAGTCTTCGCCACCAGACCACCAGGGAAGTCCTGTGGTATTATGGCCTTTTACAAGGATGACAGCATCCAGGAGAATACTTATAGGAACCAAATAATATTCTAAGAGGGCAACATGAAGATGATTTGTCATGTTCCTTCAAGAGTGTGTTCATCTTCAACATCAACTTTTTCTCCTGTTCTTTCACTCTCACTTCTCCAAACCTCAAAAGACTTCTAAAAGTAAAAGGAACAACCAGAATACCCATGAGTCCTGTCTTCACACAGGGAGATCTTCAAGTATAAACAAGATGATGTCACTTTGTTTCCTGTGACGCTTGCAATAAAATCCTCCACTCCCA